CTCCTCCTCGTCTTCCCAGGGACGTGGCTTCGGCTCTGGAGCTTCCCAGGTCTCTGTCCAGGGACGCTCTGCTTCCTCGGGGTCTTGTCGGGCAGAGGGGCCCGGGTAGGAGTCGGTGTCAGAGGGTGACGAGGAGTTAGAGACGAGAGCCAGGGGACAGTGACTGCCCCTTAATAAAGGGACTAAAAACCCGACGGAGGGAATGACGGTGACACACAGCGCGCTTGCTGGAGAACAGCAGAGCGAGGCCCAGGCCCAGCGCCGGGCCGCTGTGAGGGTGAGGCTAAAACAGGGTCACCAAGCTTCACGTGGCACAGGAGGCCACAGCCCCGCAGGGAGCGGGTTTCTGAACACCAGCTAACCACGGGGGGAGAGTCCCACYGCGTCCCACCAGAGAGCAGGTATGTCATATATACAGGTCCCACGGGGGACCTGGAGCAAAAGACAGCAGGAAAGTTAATGGACAAAGATGCTCGTGACTTAGGGCAGGGGAGGGCCCAAGACCTTCAAAAGCCCAACTCTACAGGCAAAGCCAAATTGTTCTGTCACACTGAAAGAAAGCAACTTTCTTTAATGAAGGACACCACGGACAAAGTTAATAAGAGAAGTGACAGGTATTTGCAATCTCTAAAGTCAACAAGGGACTTAAAATCTAGACCCTACGAAGGAGTCCTGCAAATCACCCAAACAACGAAACAGGCCAGTGGGGTCGTGGTGCCCACGGCTGGGAGGCCGAGGCAGGAGGACCGGAGGTTCTAGGCCGGCCTCCGCAAGTCAGCCAGGAGAGGGAGACGCTAAGCAACTCAGGGAGACCCTGTCTCTAAATAAAAGAGGGCTGGGGATGGGGCTCACTGTTAAAAGTCCCCCTGGGGGCTGGGGATGTGGCTCAAGCGGTAGCGCGCTCGCCTGGCATGAGTGCGGCCCGGGTTCGATCCTCAGCACCACATACCAACAAAGATGTTGTGTCCGCCGAAAACTAAAAAATAAATATTAAAAATTCTCTCTCTCGCAGGAAGAAAAGATTGATATTAAACAGAGACACGAGATGGGAGGGAAAGAGAGAGAAAAGGGGAATTGCATGGAAATGGAAAGAGACCCTCATTGTTAAACTACATAAAAGAGGTTGTGAGGGGAATTGGAAGAAAAAACAAGGAGAGAAATGAATTACAGTAGATGGGATAGAGAGAGAAGATGGGAGGGGAGGGGAGGGGGATAGTAGAGGATAGGAAAGGTAGCAGAATACAACAGTTACTAATAGGGCATTATGTAAAAAGGTGAATGTGTAACCGATGTGATTCTGCAATCTGTATTTGGAGTAAAAATGGGAGTTCATAACTCACTTGAAACTAATGTCTGAAATATGATATGTCAAGAGCCTTGTAAGGTTTTGAACAACCAATAAAAAAAAAAGAAAAAAAAATTCTCTCTCTCTCTCTCTCTCTCCTCTCTCACTCTCTCTTTAAAAAAAAAAAAAAAAAAAAAAAAAAGTCCCTCTGGGTTTGGTCCCAGTACGGACCAACCAACCAACCAGCCAAAACGAAAACGAAAATAAAGCAGGAGCCCCAGCAGAAAGATGGGCGGGGGGGTGTGCTGGCAGTTAGACTTCTGCACAACAAGCCTAAGAAGAGAATTCAGACTCATTAGTAATCAGACAAATGCAAATTTAAATACACCGAGATGTTACTTTGCATATGTTAGACTGTCAAAATTTAGATATCTGGGTAACAGCTAACGTTAGCAGAGCCTGAGCTGTAGGGACTCCTGAGCCTGTGGAGAGACGCAGACCGTCAAGGGACCTCTGGGTGAGCTCAGCTAAGTGTGGACACATCTCCGAGGGCATCCGTTCCAAACCCGCAGGAAATGCTTCTGAAAGCCTCTGAAAGCCGTCGGCTGGTCCACGGCAGACGTGTAGGAGGGGCTGTGCAGGTGTGTCTGTGGGTCTGGAGCTGAAGGTCCTCTGCGGGGTCTTGGGACGGTGGACAGTGAAGAGGGGACATATCATCATGGACAACTGTGCAGCCACTGGGAACAGTGGATGGCCGTAGTCCCAGCAACACGGACAGCTCTTGGAGGACAATAAGCCATCGGCCGAGAGCTGTGGCACACACTGTGTCCACAGGATGACACAGGCACAAAATTACGACAAGCACACCCTTCCAGGACTCACCCAGACCAACAGAACGCGGCCAGTGCTGGACAAGAGCTGTCTGTGGGGAAGGCGGTGGGAAGGGAGGGGAGATGAAAGGGAAAAAATAAATGAATAGAACAACAGAAGGAAAAAAACCCCGAGTGTCAACTTTCCCTCCAGGCTCCTGGCCTTGGCCAGAGAGGAATGTAGTTCCATGAGGACGCGACCCTGTCCGTTTCTTCCCCCTCCATTCCCAGCACCAAAGCCCATGCCAGGCCCAGATGGACGCTCAGGAAATGTCTGGGTGATTCCATGAGACAACACACGAGTTGATGGGCGGAGGGCTTTGCAGAGGCAGCGCTGGTACTGGTCTGGCCCTGTGATTTGGTGTCGGGTGGCAAGGTCTCCCTCCTGGCTGCGCCAGGCACTGCCAGCGAGATGGCGCCACCTCTGAGCTTCAGTTTCCTCATCTGGAAGCCACCTCATCTGCTTGGAGCCTCCAGGGGCTATTTGTAGTCGATGCCCAGCAAACTTCCATGCCCACACCTTGGCTCCGTGGAGTGAGGAAGGCAGGCACTTCTGGTGACATTTAGGTGGACCTGGGTGGCTGTAAGCTGCGGTGGTCTGGGTACTTCACCATCCCCAAGTAATTTTTCCCTCTAGACAGGGAGGCTTTGTTCTCTGCAGCCTCCTGTGGAAATGCTCAGATCTCCGGGAGGGGGTCACCTTCAGCCGTCTGGCTCAGTGGGTGGGGACAGTTGAGAGCCACACCTTACCCTGGGAATGCCATCGTGAAGCCAGAGGGACACTGAGAGCTAAATGCTGGGAGCGCCGCCTTGGAAATTCAAGCCGAGCCCCTCTCCACACCTCCAGCCACTCCTCCCTGGCATCACTCCCACCCTGTCCCCTGGGTGCTCTCCGGGGTGCTCTCCAGTCCAGCCTAAGGCCCTCTCTGGCTCAGGGTGAGAGCCAGGTCCTGGCCATGGCCACATAAGCCCTCACGACCCAGTGGAGACCCGCCTGCGTCCTCTGTTCCCGCCACTTGTCCTGCTGCTCCTGCAATCCATCCCCCTCTCCCGCCCAGAGCACCGCACTTGCTGGACCCTCTGCCCAGAACGGGCTTCTCTCGTCCTCCGCCCGGCCATGCCCTCCTATCTTCCAAGTGCCTGTCCTTCTCCAAGAGGCCCTTCCTGTTCACCCAGGTCAAGATAATCCCGCTGCACCCCACCATGCAGCTAATTTCTTTTAAAACACTCACCAAAGTCTTACTCTTTATCATTTAAAAAAATTTGCTTTTAGTTCCCTGGTTCCCCCAGGCCGACCAGCTGAGGGGAGGGCCGGGCTGGGTCAGAGCACCAGGTCAGAAGCTTCGGATCCAGTCTAAAGCAAGTGGAAATCCCGGGACAGTTTTGAGCAGACAAGAGACGGGATTCGGTGTATGAAATGTCAGATCTTTGGGGGGCGGGGGGCTTGGCCAGGAGGCAAAGGCAGAGGAGGGAGAGGGGAAGATGCATGCAGACAAGATGGCTGTGCCTTGGACAAGGATCAGGATGAGGCTTGAGGGGAAGTGGATGGGCTAATAGATACAACCCTGCGGTGCACCCACTGTGCACAGAGAAAGGAGGAGAGGAAAAGGGCCAGAGGGGGMAAGGGGCTGACTTTGGGGCACCACGTCTGGCTCCGTTTTTCTCCACTAGTGCAGGGTGTCACTGATGTGTCCCCAGCATGCACTTATTCATCAGGCAGCAAATATGTGTGTGAAAGAATAAACCAGCAACCCCAGCAGCTGGCCTGCTGTGGCAGCCGCAGGCCCTGCCCTCTCCAGGCGGACTCTGGTGTATCCCCGTTTACGGTTGTTTGGGGCATCCTTTCCCACCGGACAGGGCTCCCCAGGGGAAGACGCGCCCTTCACCGGGCTTGACATGCCAGGACCTCCCGGGAACCAGCTGTCCGACTTCAAGACTGGAGGAAGGAGTCCGGCTCTGCAGCCCAGCTCGCTGGCGCGCTCCAGCTTGCTCAGTGTTTCCTCTCCGCAGGTCCCACCAGCGGCCACGCTGCGTGTTGATTCGTGGTGTTCATGTCCACCCTCCGCTACTAGAATCTCATCCCGATCTGGAATTAGACCTTGGGGATCTAGAATGCAAGCCGGCTAGAGCCGGGCTATTTAAATTGCCCTCCCCGCCAGCTCCAGCCCCCTCCCGGCTCGCTCTCCGGCTGCGCTGATTCCTGACTGACACATTCATTCACTTTTGTTTATAGTCTGTCTCCAGGCAGCTCCACGGGGCCGGATGTTGGCGTTTGGCTCACAGCTGTATCCAGACGCCTGTTGGTGCCTTGCACACAGTAGGCGCTCAGCCCCTGGGATGGCAGGAGGAGGGAAGGCGGGATCTGCGGGCAGGCTGTGGAGATAGCGGGGTGGGAAGGGCAGGTGGCCCGGCGACTGCGCTTGGCCCAGGCCCCCGCGCGCCCGCGGCCTCGCGGGCAGGCGGCCCGGGCAGGGAGGAGTTAAGCGGCGTGCGCGCTTCCGACCCGCAGGTGGCGCCGTCCCGCCTCGGTGCCCACTCCCGGCGCTCCGAAGTGCGGGACAGAATCGCGGCGAGCGCGGCGCCGAAGCTCAGCCCGACTTGTTGATCTCGCCCAGGCAGCCGCCGCCGCCGCGGGCGAGCGAGAGGAGCGGGAGGTGGCGGAGGCGCCGCCCGACCGCGGTCCTGCCCGCCGCGCGCCCCGCGCCCGCCCGCGCCCCCTGCCTCGGAGAGCGCGCCCGGCTCCGCGGCGCCTGCAGCCCCGGCGCGTCGCCTGCCCGGCCGGGGTAGGCCGGGCCCAGCCCGGCCCCGGGACCGCCGCTGCCCGCGGGCGGGGGCGCCCGGGCGGCCGGGACGATGCGCGGTCCCTGGCCCCGGGAGGCGGCCGCCCTGGGGGTGAGTGTTGGGGCGCGCGGGCGGCGCGGGGACGGGGGGACACGGGCAGGGGGCTCGCCTGCCGCGGCTCGGCCTGTTGGTCTGCCCGGGCTCCGCGGCTCCAAGCTGGGGGTGGGGGGCGGGCAAGGGCTGGGGCCCGAGGCGACGCGCGATCCCCATTCTGGGGCGAGGGGTGAGGGCGTGTGCCCCACATGCTGTGGGCTCGGGGAACCCCCCGAAATCACCAGTGAGCGGCGGAAGGAGGGCACGTTTTGAAAGGCCAGAAAATTCAGCTCCTTTCCCCGCCTCCCACCTCCCCCACCCCTTCCCTTCCAAGCCCGGGGAAAGGCGCAGAACCCGGAGTTATAAAAAGCCATCGCAGGAGAGGAGCGAGGAGGAGGAGGAGGAGGAGGAGGAGGAGGAGGAGGAGGAGGAGGAGGAGCAGCAGCAGCAGCGAGGGGAGGATGGAGCAGGCGGATTCCGAGCACTCCTCGTGCCCCTCCTGCGGTGGGGTAGGGGGCGCAGAGGGAGGGGCGGAACCCCGCAAGGGGTTTGGCTTTGCGTCTTGCGGGCCCACCCAGTCGCCCGAGCGACCTCCCGAGGTGCCCCGGTGATATGTGCAGAGGGGTCGCTCCGGGGCAGAGGGACAGGTGAACACGCTGCCCACGGTGACCTCTGACAGGTGGGCATCTGGAAGTCCCCAGAATCTCCCCCAGATCTTTAAAGATTTAGAAAAAGCAAACCCTCTGCCATTCCCCTGCCCCCATCCTGGTTATCTCCAGCAAAGGAAGGTGGAAGATGAGAAGTCATTTTAAAAAGGAAGGAAGGAAGGAAGAAAGTTTTTCATGCTGTTCCCCCCCCTCCACATTGCGGGGCCAGGTTCAGGACTCAAACAAGAGACCCACAGGGAAGGGAGTTTCAGCACTCGACGGGGCGGACAGCGCCCCGAGTGGCTAGGTCGCTCCAGGGCCGCGGAAGCCCGGGGTAGGGCTTCCGGGGGTCCAGGGGCTCCTCCTGGGGCTCTCTCCCCGCCCCCAGGGCGGCTCCTCCCTCCGTCCATGGGGTGGGTCGGACTTCAGCACCGGCGGGAGGGACAGCGTCCTACCCCCTTGAGCCGCTTAAACCGCGAAGGTCAAGGTCTGCGGGGACCCCAGTGGCAAGGCGGGGAGGAGCCATGCCCAGCTCCGGGTTTGCTGACCCGCGTCCGCTTTCGCTTTCTGCCTTGCAGCCGTCGGGATGGAGGTGAGAAGGCGGCCGTGACGCCCGCCCGCGCGAACCCCTGCACCCCAGCAGCCCACAGCGCTCCCTGCCCCCCTCCCCCGCGGCAGAGGGCCTTGCCGTCCAGTGACAGCGGCCTGGGGGGGCAGGGGGGGCGGGGGCGGCCGGACCAGCGATGCCGGCGGGCATGACGAAGCATGGCTCCCGCTCCACCAGCTCGCTGCCGCCCGAGCCCATGGAGATCGTGCGGAGCAAGGCGTGCTCGCGGCGCGTCCGCCTCAACGTCGGGGGGCTGGCGCACGAGGTGCTCTGGCGCACCCTGGACCGCCTGCCCCGCACTCGGCTGGGCAAGCTCCGGGACTGCAACACACACGACTCGCTGCTGGAGGTGTGCGACGACTACAGCCTCGACGACAACGAGTACTTCTTCGACCGCCACCCGGGCGCCTTCACCTCCATCCTCAACTTCTACCGCACCGGGCGGCTGCACATGATGGAGGAGATGTGTGCGCTGAGCTTCAGCCAGGAGCTGGACTACTGGGGCATCGACGAGATCTACCTGGAGTCCTGCTGCCAGGCCCGCTACCACCAGAAGAAGGAGCAGATGAACGAGGAGCTCAAGCGCGAGGCCGAGACGCTGCGCGAGCGCGAGGGCGAGGAGTTCGACAACACGTGCTGCGCCGAGAAGAGGAAGAAGCTCTGGGACCTGCTGGAGAAGCCCAACTCCTCGGTGGCGGCCAAGGTGAGGCTGGGGTCCCGGACTGGGGGCCTGGGCACTCAACCCAGGCGAGGGCCATGACTGGGGACGCCGCGGCCTTCCCCACGATGAAGCCCAGTAGGAGAGGGGCTCTGGCCGAGTCCCAGAGGTGAGGACCCACACCCTCTGACTTCTCCTAAGGGCACTGATGGCCTGGCCTTTGATGTTTCGGTGCTGTGTCGGCCCACCTTGTTGGGGGAGTGATTCACAGGGTTTATACAGAGCCACAGCCAGAAAGCAGGGGCTCGGAAGGAAATGGAGCTTGCTGGGCCCGGCAGAGTTGGGTCTGGTTCCCTTAAGTCCCAAGCCCAGGCTGGAGAAGGCAGCTCCTGGCAACCCCTCTTGCCCCAGGAAGAAATAAAAGCAGCTGCCAGGTGTGTTGGAGGATGCAGAGATTCTGCCGGGTGGTCTTAGCAGAATTAAGGAAAATGCGGCCAAGGGACACTGAGGGGTGGGTGGACGACACCGGGCCCGCGGCTGGCGTGGGCCTGTGGACAGGGCTGCTGGCTCTTTCTTCATTTCTGTGTTTGGTGAGTTTCTTCCCGCGGTGGTTTGATGCAGCGTGTAAAGGTGCCTTGGCTGCTGGAGGAGGGGGTGCATTTCAAAGTTGGAGAGAAAGCGGAGGAAGGGGCAGGGAGGCGTCTGATCCCGCCCCGTGGGCTGCCTGGTGACCGTGGAAGTCCAAGGAACTGGGAATGGCAGGGGCAGGGGCCAGGGCAGGGCATGTGGTGACCGGCTGCTGGGCAGCTCATCTGAGTCTGGCAGGGATTCAGGGTGCCTGGAGAACTGGGGCCTGTCCTCCTGTGGCCGGCGGGCAGGGCATGGGGTAGATGATCACAGGGTGCTCATGACTGCGGGGTCCAGGAGAGGGAGAGGCTGATGGTGAGATCCAGCAAGGTTGGGCTGGGGGAAGATGATGCACTGGGGGGGGGGGCGCAGGAAAACAGATTCATGGCACAAGGAAAGGGGGAGGGGACGTCCTCGAGTTCAGTGTGACTTATGAGCTGGGGACCATCCAGCATAAGCTCTCCGCCTGGGGTCACTCAGTTAGCCCCTCACTGGCCCCTGGCCTGAAGAGGACTGTGTGGGTCCTTTCCCAGGTCTGGCTGCCCCAGGAGACGCCGTGGGAGAGGGCGGCCCCCCGGGAAGGCGGGAGGAGCCTTGCCCATGGACCCTAGAAAGGACAGGGAGGTTCCCAGACCTGACTTTCCCCGGAAGCTGTGGGCGGCCGCTGGCCGTAATCCTGCCCCCGGTTCCGTGTCCAGAAAGCCTCCCTCTTAGCACAGAGGCCCCCACCCCTAACCGGCTTAGGATCAACAGACTTATTTTGCTATTTCCAGGCCTGACACAGGTCCCACCACTGCACACCCTGGACGTGCCAGCAGCGCTCCCTCCTCCCCGCTCTGTCCCAAGACGTGAGATCAAGGGGCAGGAGATGGGCGGTGCCCTCCCTCTTGGGAAGAAGCAGGCAAAGGGCACGTTGGTGCTGCCATCTGGCAGGGCACAGGCGCTCCGGCTTCAGGAGGCGATGTTTGGGTACAGACAGCCTCTCCTCTCCCTCGGGCTAATCCGCTCACCACGGGGACGAGCTCGGTGACCTCTCCATGATCCCACACTGGGCTGTCAGTTCACATTCCTGGCAGATGGACCGTCTAGGATTTTCTGCAGCCAGGGCTGAAGGAAGGAAGGTGGTCAGGCCCACTGTCTCTAGTGTAGGTTCCTGACTGCCACTGAGCAAATACCTAACACATAGTGGGGCTCAGAAAGGCGAAGTCACTTGCCTAAGGTCACACAGCAGGCTAAGAGGAGTAGCCAGAAATTCAAACCCAAGTGTGACTTTGAACACCCTGTTCCTTCCACATGATTAAGTACCTCAGCCTCCTCCCCGGTTTCCCTGCTTCCACTTTTGCCCCCTGCAAGCCATTCCCCACACAACCGCCAAAGTGAACTTTTCAAAATGTAAATTGGATCACATTATTCATCTATTTAAAATCCTCCCGAGGTTTCCCAGCTATTCAGAATAAAATTGAGACTCCGTCACGGCATTCGAGGGCCTATAGAGTCTGGTCCTCGGGACCTTTCTGAGCTCATGTCCTCCATTCTCCTCTAGTCCATTCAATTCTGGTCCCACTGACCTCCTTGCTGTTCCCACCCAGGCCAGGCCTTATYCTACCTCAGGGCCTTTGCACCTGCTGCTCCCGCTGCCTGTGATGTGCTGCCCCAGCCTGTTCCACAGCCAGCTGTTGGCCCTCATTCTCCACTTGAGCAGTGGCCACAGAAGGCCTTTCTTGACTCCTGTCCATCGAGGCCCCTCCCCTCACTCGGCTGCACCATGCTGTCTTTCCTGCCTGGGCCTTGTGCACCTTTGAATCGTGTTTGCTTCCCTGTGTCTGTTTCACACTCACAGGAGTGTGAGCGCCATGGAGTCCATGCACCGCCTGGTTCCCAGCGGGCGTTGCGGTGCCTGGCCCAGAGGCGCTCCAAAGAGCTGCTCCAAGGAGCTGCCTGGGAGTGAGTAAATGGCGGCCCATGGCCGCTGTGTCGGGTCTGGGAACCCGCCGACCTCACTGCCCGCCTGTGGGCGATGTGGGCGAGCGTGTCCTCTGGGCCTTTGGCCTGCCTCAGCCCCCCAGATGGGACACCTGGCCTGTCACAACAGGGAGGACCATGGCCTTTCTCAGAGGCCACAAATGGAGACAAGTGGGGGGTCATTCCCAGGGGACTGTGAGGTGCAGATGTGGCCACATGTCCCATGCTGAAGGACAAGGATAGACTCTCTCTCTAGGCCAGCTCCGCCATCTCCCCAGCCTCGGACCTTGGGAGGTTTCTTCAACTCTCCCACCCCCCCACCCGCACCCTCACCTTCCCCTCCCCCACCCCACCTCCTCTCCCCTCCCCCACCCCACTTCCCCTCCCCTCCCCCACCTCCCCTGCCTTCCCCCCACCCCCCACCTTGGCCCAGCTTGCGGCCTCCACACTGTCGAGGCTCAGCCCAGCACCTGGCAGAGCAGGTGGTGTTGGGGTGAGGAGAGCAGAGCCCTTCCCCTTCCTCGGGGCCGGGTGGGCTGGGTGGCCCCAGACCCGCTCCTTCCGCCCGCAGGACCAGGAAGGCGGAGCCGGCGTTAATAATTGATGGGACGTTCTGGCAAAGGAGAGCACAGGCCTCCGCTGCTCCGTCAGGGGAGCAAAAATCAAAACCCATTAGGCAGAAGGCGCTTGATGGTTCCTGCGTGGAGGGGTCAGCCCCACCCCGTGTCCCTGTGGAGGTGCTGGGCCGCCACTGGACTTGGGCTTTCTGGGAGAACTCCAGGCTTCCCTCGGTGGGGCGAGGGGCACCCACTGGACCGGCCCTGAGCGTCTGCCTTCTCTGGAGTCCCAGGTTTCTAGAGTAGCTCCTGTTGATGGTGCCGGGGCGCGGTCCGTGGGACGTCGTGTGCGCGGTCTCACCGAAATCCTTCCAGCGAGCCGGTCAGGTGCTGCGCCCAGCAGGGCTGCTCTGGGCTGTAAGTAACAGAATGGAAAAGTCCAGGCGGCTTCCCTAGGAAAGAGGAGGTGAATCATCCCGTGTAGCCCACTTTCCAGGGTGACTGGGGTAGGGCGGAGTTGTTGGCTCCACGATGCCCTCAGGGTTCTAGACTCTACTCCTCCCTCCCCTGCCCATGACTTGGTCCTCAGCTGGAAGCCTCACATCACAAGATGGCTGCCCAGTTCTAGTCCTCAAATGTAGACCCAATGATGTCCTACCCAGGAAGAGGGGCATTTTCTCCACTATTTTTCCTTGGGGGGAGATCTTTCCCCGGAGCATCCTAGCAGACTTTCGTGACAATCCTGTTGACCAGGATCAGGCCGCACGCTCGTGCTTTAGCTGTAGGGGAAGCTGGGAAAGCAGGCCTTGAGCTCTTCCAGACAAGGGAAGGAAGCGTTTGATCAGTGAGGCCAAGACCCTCCTGCGGGAGCGGAGGCCACTCGCCCGAGCTCGCTCAGCTYAGCCTTCAGTGAACGCTCATCAAGGAGTGAGTGCGAGCGCAGAGCYGGGTTGGTCCACGTTCCTCTGGTCCCCAGGCCCGTGCTCCTGAGCCCTGGAAACTGGGGCAGGGCGTTTAAGGCCTCTGAGCTCACCCCCTGAGCCCTGCCACCTCGGGGCTGTGGGGACGGACGGGGCAGTGAGATTTCAGTGAGTGGAACTCGGAACTAGGGAGCGCCTGGGTCGGGTCTCTGTGGTTGTGTTTAAAGGTGGGAGTGGTGCTCAGGGACGGTGTCCTGTGGTGGCCTGGGTCGCCCACATCAGCTCTGAGGACAACTCCTCTTCCCAGGAGTGTGACTTTGGACAAGTCCCTCTCGTCCTCTGCGTCTCAGTTTCCTACCGTGAAGTGGGAACTAGGGAGAGGCAGCCATGGGGCCATTTAGAGAAAAAAAGTCCATCCAGAGCCGCTCCCCGGGCCTGGCCCTGGGCGCCCCGGCGGGCGGCAGCGAGCCGGCAGGTCCTCCCCAACTCCGCTCGGCAGCCGACGTGCCCYGGCGCTGACTGTGGGGTCACCGTCYGTGGTCCCTTGGGGTCCCCTGCTTCTTCTGCGGCCTCCTTGGCCTGAGCCGGGGGTTCATGCTTGATTCTCAGGAGAAATGAGGGGCCCTGGGGCTCTGAGYCACCCAGCCCAGGCTCTTGCTGCCCCGCACCTCCCAGATGGCTGTTTGCATTGGGGGACGATCGGGCAGAGATTCGGAAGGCAGACTGTGTGTCCCCAGCCCCGCGTTTGACCACCTAAGTGTACACGGGAGTGATGACAAGCCCACCCCCAGGGCTGTCCCAAGGGTGACTTGGGATGGCCTGTGGGGGTTTCGAAGCCAGGCTCCATAAACCCATGACGTCATTTGATCAGGGACACCCGGAGGCCCCAGGTGCTTCCGTGACCTACCTGGGTCACATGGCAAATCAGGGAAAGGTCCAGGGCTATCCCCAGGCCCTTCTGACCCCTAGCACCACCCCA